AGTCAAGTTATTTCACACATTCTTTGAACCGGCTGTGGCATGTCCTTCTTTTCTACTTTCGTTTATAGCTGTTTAGGATTTGCAGAGGTTACTGGTTAAACATGGTCTGTTTCTTCTCTAGATTATCCATGCTCTGGGATGCTAGGTATGGTGTCTGGACTCATTACTGACTCTCAGATTACAGCATCTAGTCAAGTTGATCGAAACTGGATACCAGAAAATGCTCGTCTTATAACAAGCCGCTCAGGCTGGGCACTACCACCAACTACCCACTCATATACGAAGGAATGGCTTCAGGTAGACCTCAGTGAAGAGAAAGTAGTGCGGGGCATAATTGTTCAGGGAGGCAAGCACCGAGAAAACAAAGTGTTCATGAAAAAATTCAAGATTGGCTATAGCAACAATGGATCTGATTGGAAAATGATCATGGATGCCAGTAAGAAGAAGATAAAGGTGAGAGAGAAGTCACTACATCATGGATTCCTTTTACAAAGAACGTGCCTAATTCTGATCTTTGAAAATTGGTTGTTTTGAGGTGACCTGAGGTGTAGGCTAAGTAGGAGTGTTTCTTCAGCAACAAAGTTTAAGGGATGTTAATAAATCAGTGCCGTGGCTGTGGTCAGGCTCCAACATACCTGTCCCAAGTTGCTCTTCACAGCTATGGTGCTTTAGCTGTGATCCCTGTTTCTATTCAGTCATGTGCACCAGGCACCCTGCGGGCCTCAGGTCTGCCTCAGAATCCTTTGCAATTCTGTGGTGACAAATGCCAAAAAGAAATGCTGGAGGGTTCTAGTCTTAGCCTTGCTACTAAGATTGTGTAAATTTAGCCATCTCACTTAATTTGTCTGTGCTTCATTTTCCCTAGCTGTAAAATGGGGACAATGCTATTTACATCAAAGGGCTGATCTGAAGATTTCTCAATTATATGTAAGGTGCACTGAGGTGTTCTATTAGATCTGATGCAATGCCCATTGAAATCAATGCAGGGACTCCCAAATGATTTTGATATGATATAGAACCCACCTTCAATGCACTGTACTATTATATTATCACTAGTGCAGATTTGGGAGCCTGTCTGGCAACTAAAGGCAACTATCACACATGACTGAGCAGAAATATCAAAAACTTTACATAGGAGAAAATGAAATAGACAGAGGACCAAGTGGGTTGTTGTATGAATGAATTTGTAGGAGGAAGATAGATCAACAACTAATAGCAGGCCACAAATAGTGCATTTGTCTAGATCTGGGCCTGGATGTACACTCTGGAATGTTTTAAAATATCTAGTCAAAATTAGGGCTGTCAATTGACCTGCTTTAACATCTGCAATTAACGCAGGACAGGATTAACGTGTTAAAAAAACTAACGCGTTAATCGCAGGCGTTAAATGCTGCACTGCCTCTTTGAAGTCCTGCTCTGGCACTTCAAAGGGGCGTCACAACGCAGATCCGGGGATCAGCTGCAGTCCCCAGCTCCTAATGTGCTGCCCCTTTAAAGCGCCAAAACGGCACTTCAAAGGGGTAGCGCAAGCAGAGCCGGAGATCAGCTGGACAGCTGACCCTGGCCTCCGCCTTGCACTGCCCTTTGGAAATGCTGCCACGGTGCTTCCAAGGGGCAATGCTGCATGGAGCCCTGGGTCAGCTGGGAACTCCAGCTGATACCAAGCTCCATGCAGCGCTGCCCCCATTGAAACGCTGCCGCGGCCTTTCAAAAAGGGGTGTTACATGCAATTAATCACACAATTAATCGTTATTAACATTTTTAATCATTTGACAGCCCTAGCTAAAATCTTATCCATTTACTCTTATGTGCTATTTTGGTATCTTGGCCCAGAATGTGCATTTAGAAATTTTTATCTAAAAGGACACGGTCACCTCTAAAATCTGCCTGTATCTCCTACCCCGTGCCTTAAGAGATATCACCATTCACTGTGCAGGGCATACTGCTTTGCTACTGGCATGATCATGGAACTATAGCTATAATAGTAGGATAAAAAGAGGAAGAGCACTAGCAATTGCAACATAAAACTCCATACACCTTAGCTGTTCTGTTAGTCTGGAACTCAGGTGTAATGGATGAGCTCTTCTCTGGTCCCATCAATCCATTAGGCAAACCTGTTTGTCCTAAAAAGAAAACATATATTTTCCAATCTTTTCCAGTCCTGTGGCTAAGTGGACCCATGACTAGCTTTTCTTAGCACATTTTGTAAATATATGCTTCATTCTTTCCTGTTGTAACTCCACAGAAAAATCCTTCTCAGTCCTGAGTCCTGCTTCAGTTGATGATCTTTTTTTCCTCATTTGTTTTGGGAATAAACACAAACTGGGGTCAGCCTTTGAAACTGACTACTCTTTCTTGTTACTAAGAGTTGTGATTTCATCATGAAGTGTGAAGAGGGTGTAAATCAATACTGAGATCTAACTAAAATGATCTTTGCTAAAATGGATGTTGTTTTGACATGTACTTACACACTCTGTCTCAATGAGAAAAAAACTGCCATATGCTTTCAAATGATAGACCGTATGTTACATGGCCTTCTTTTTTCTAATCCGAGTACTTGCCATCATTGTCAAAAGCTAACAATGTTAACAAAAAAAGAATGCTGCGTAACCCATTTAAGTCCATTAAGAGCTTGCATTGCTATCAGAAATTAACTTCCAAAATTAATGGCTTTTTTAAAACATTGGAATTTATAATTCTCCTAAAAAATTCAAAACATTTTCTTCTTTAGAAAAAGTTTTGCTAAAAGAGAATTTGATAAATCCTAAGATTTGGGAGACTGGTGGATTTAAAATGTTAATGTAGGAATTTATTATTGTAAATGTAAATGGAGCTAGACTGTATGGAATGTTAGCTATGTTGAGTCCTGGCATGAAAGTGGGTAGGAAACATCCCTGTTTCATTAAAGGAAACACATCATTTCTAATCGGGAAAAATATTGCCTTTGAAAAACAAACAATTGCATGCTATACAAGTATGGAAAGTAATGGATCAGCAATATATATTGAGGGCATAAGACACTGTCCAATGTCTACCACCCCTTTCACTCTTTCTCCTTGTCCATGCCTTCATCTCATTTCACTAGACCAGCGTTTCCCAAACTATGGGCCACGAGAAAAAAATACCAGATTGGCGTGGCTACTGGGAGGGGAGCAGAGCAGGGCGGGCTGGAGGGGGCAGGGGTGGGAACCAGCCGCCGGGAAGCACGGTTGGGGAGCAGCAGGGCTGTCCCGCGGAGATCCAGGCAGGCAGGCGTGCAGCCGGCGAAAGCAGAGCTGGGGGCAGCAGGGCTGTCTAGCGGAGATCGGGGAGGGCAGGCGGCAGAACCAGGGCTGGCTGGGGGCCGGGGGGCTGGGCGGGGGGGGGCAGGCGTTGGGGGAGTGGGGCTGACCTGGGGAGATTGGTGGCTGGACAGGGGCAGCAGGTCTAGACTGGGGAGATCAGGAGGAGAAGTGGGGGGGAGCGGGACTGACCTGGGCACATGCAGACCCTTGCAGACGAGTGAGTCTGGCCGGGGATTCCATTTTGCTCCCCCTCCCGTTCTCCCCCACCCTCCACATACTCTCCCTCGAGTAGTTGTGAACTGCCTGGCAGGTAGACACACTCAGGCAGCATGAGCACATCTACCAGCCAGGCAGTTCACAGCTAAGGACTGATACACGCAATTATAATAAAACTTACCTAATTAGAAAATACCAGGTATTTTCTATGTCTGGTAATTTCTCAATTTCTTTCCCAAACAAAACCCTCAAATACCGGACTGTCCGGTACAAAACCAGACTCCTAGCAACCCTACCCTTCCTTGCATCTTCCCTCCTAGCCAATCCCCAATCTGCTCCTGCTCCCGCCTCCTGGAGTGCTTATGTGGCGCCGAGTCCCCCAAGCCATGGCCCAGGCTGGGTGGAGGATGCAGCCAGGTGAAACACTGAAAATGTATTCATTTTTCATTCTTTTTTTTATATGAGTTTATATTTTTGGGCTGCAAAAAATGGTACTGAAAAAAAATGAGTTCCAACTAAAGTAAAAAGTTTGGGAAACCCTAATCTAGACAGCTTTCTATCCATCTTACAGTCCGTTTATTCAATCCATATTCCCTTAACTTGCTGGCAAGTATATTGTGGGTGACTGTATCAAAAGCTTTGCTGACACTGGCACTGTGGGTTTTGAGGGGACCAGAAACAACTTATTTGAATATTCATTATTTGCTTAATGAATATGCAAATATGCAAATGAATGTTACTGGTCCTCCAAAAGCTCGTGAATGGATTTACTGGTCCCCATGTCAAAAAGTTTGGGAACCCCTACACTAGACTATTCTAATTCTCTTCTCCATTATCTCCTCAATTTCTAGCTCTTCCGGATACATTCATTTCTCTACCTGTCTCAAATGTAAAACAAGCTTGTATCACTTAAATGTGCAAGCAACTTCATTGTCTGTCTACCCATTTTAGGATTCAATTTATCTTTGCCCTGCTTCTATGTAATTCCAATGGACTTGCTCCTGCCTACCTCATGAAGCTTGTTCCTCTTTTTCCATTCTTTTTCCTGACTCCTTCTGCTTATCTACTATTGACCTTTTCTCTCTCTCTCATTCCATACCTTCTGGCCACTGATGCTGCAAGAATCTTCTCCTTTGCATCTCCTGTCATCTGGAACAGTCTTCCTTACTCCAGTTGTCAGGCTGACTATTTTAAAATGTCATTAGGAATCATATCTTTTCTCTTTCCAACATTTATTAGTTTCCCTTTTACTGAGCTATTGTTTAGCTCTGTAATGAAATAAAGCATGTTATGGCAAAGACACAACTTGGCGACAACATTTTGCTGTATGCATCTTCCTCCAATCCTGTAAAGAAGATTAGTGTGTGTTTGAAACGAAGAGTCAAAATTGAATCACAGGACAGGTCTACACTACAAAAGATAATGATTCAATATAATTATGATTCAATATAATTCTAGATGCCTATTAAATTCTAATGCCTAGGTGTCGGTGATGAGTCTTTTATAACACAGTTTTCATTATTATATGTTGCTATTAAGACTATTATTGAAAGAGAAGTCAGCATTCCTTAGATAACATATGCCTGCTTACTTTTACAAATAAAATGGCATGCAATATTCTCTCTCATACTGCAGGTACTCTGACCTTTTGAGCTGTGTTAATATACAAATATAAAAAAACCTTAATAATTGTAAATTAATTAGATATAAATCTCAGTGTCATCTAAATACCCAATCCTGACAGAAACCTTCTGAGTTCTCTCAGAACACTAGCCAACCTGGTGCTTTTTGAAAGAAATCTCAGGAATCCAGTGTCCTGTAGGGAGTGAAGGTAGTCATGTCGCTATTATAAGCAGCTCTTAATACCAGTAATCCCAGCTATTGGTATATTTACCATTATTCGTACTATTTTTTTTTTTTTTTTTTTTTTTGTGAATGATACTCAAGACTTAA